AGATGCACCGCCGGCCACCATGGGGGCCTGTTCAGCCCATATGCCCATATTTATTGTTGACAGCCCCTGGGTAGTCTGAATGCAAAATGTATGAGTTTTAAGCTTAATGTTTGCATTTTCTTTTCGCAGCAGGGAAATGCTTCAGGCTGTATTCTCCCTCCTACCAACTTTTCCACTTTAAGGAAGCCAGAGGACCTGACTCATCTGTCTCAGCTGGTGAGAATAAACTTCCTTTTTAACCCATTAAGTAAAAAATGCACACTTTGTGGTTTTACTAAAGCCAGTTTTGTTCTTCCTGTGTTTGGTCCTGTGTGCTTTTGTGTAGAACCACAGTAACAGTGTGAGCGTAGCTCTTCAGTGCAGACTCAGCCTGGCTCCCTCCCAGACGTTGAAGCTCATGATCACAGGAAGACTTCAACTACCTGCTCTTCATGCTGTAAGTCACTAGGTTTCCTGGATGTTAAGAATCTCAATGAAATCTCTTGTCAAAGCTAACTTAAAATATTTTTTGAAGTCATTAATAATAAATAACATGTACTGTACTTACAAACTCCATGTATAAACCCAGTAAGTACAGATATGTGCTCCATGCATTTATAGTTAGATTCTCTGTGGGGACATACTTTCTGGATGAAGCTAAATTCTGCTTCCTTAGGTCATCACTAGATGTCACTCTAACCTTAGATTTCACACCAGGAGGGTTGATGCAAATGTTCAACTGCATGACAGGATCAAAACTGGTTGCTGTTAAAACCCAGCACTTCTGCCAGAGTTCTGATGTACGCCGTAATAATCAGATCTAACTCTAACCTAGTCTACAAAAAACAATCTAGAAATAAGTATAAGTGTATCTACCCTTAATTTGAGCAGCTAAATAAGATCTGCTAATGGCAAATAAGATAATTAGATAGTTAGATAATATGCACTTGGAATAAGACAATATTTTTTTTTTTAAATAGAAATTGTCTTGTTCCATTGGCAGTGTTTCCCTTGCACTTATAATAGGAAAAAATTACTTATTTTAAAACAATTTTTTTTGCAGTATATAACCCAAACTCTAATGCTACATTCAGACCACATGTGATAGAAGCATCAGGAAAGCTTCTGATGCTTCATTTCTGCTGCTTGTCCACATTTAGTTCAGACGTCCAGTAAAGTGTCTCCAGAGCTTCTGCTGCTCCTGTGTTCAATGCCAGAGAGCAGCTTTGCTATATTTGCTGTGATCAGTGGGTAAAAAGTAGTTTGAATCTATTCTGAAGTGAGAAAGTCCACCTGAAAACAGGACCAGCACGATACCACCATACACCGGCGGTGCTCTGTTACTGGAAATCCCCAGCAGCAGCTGCCTCAGGCCCGCTCACCATATGGGGGTTTTCTGCTATGGTCCACATTTTTCATGTACGTAATCCAAACTGCAAGCACCAGGATAATAAAAGCGAACATATTCTGCCAGCAGGTTTCTACATTTTAAGTTAATTTAGTCATTAATAAACTGTTTCAGAGAAGTGATCATACTGTAGCGCTCTGCATCAGCAGTGCTGTGTCTGTCTCCCTGCCAGCTCCCAGATCAGCTTCTCTCATTGGTTGATGTCCAGCAGCTAAAGTTAAATTTCTCCAACTCCAGCAGCTGCTGCTTCTGAACCACGTCATGTGCCTCAGATGCTCAGAAGCTCATGAGGTGCTGCTGCTGCTGCTCAGACGCTGCAGGACCTTTTGCTGCACCTTCCATTGGTGTCGTCAACCATTGACTTTGCATGGAAACCTGCTTCTTCTTCGTTTCGACCAGCTGAAGCAGCGCCTCATGAGCTTCTGACCACCTGAGGTGTGTGATGCGCTTCACAAGCAGCAGCTGCTGGAGTTGGAAAAATATAAATTTCCTCTGAACACAGGAACATCAGAAGCACCAGATGCATCTGGACACACTTTGCTTGGACGCACATCAGGTGGATCAAAGATGCTGTTGAGGCGCATCTGACCTTAATGTGGACAAGTATAAAAAATAAAGCAGCAGATGCTTTTTTGCTGCTAAAAGAACATATGGTGAGAACGTAGCATATCTCTAACCCTGCTGTTCTGTCTTTAATGTTTCCAATCTTTTTTTTTTGTATTTACAGCCTCTGTGTTACAGGAAGCCTCGCTGCCTCCAACTAAAATGAACAGAGTGAAAATAGGATTAATATGACTTACAATAAACAATCGCTGGCCTCTTTATTAGGCACGCCTTGTTAGTTGCTGGTTTTACCCTCATTCAGTTCTTCCTGCATAGATTAATCAAGATGCTGCAAACATTCTGCAGAATTTGCTTCATGTAGACACAACAGAGCCACGGTTTGCTTTAGATGTGTTTGCACCACATCGATCACGTCAATATTCTTACATTTCAGTACCTTGGACTCCTTAGTCCTGTGTAATGACAGAGAATATGTCTCTCCTAAACTTGTTATTTGCTGAAGATTATCCAGCAGCCTGAAAAACCTTTTAATGGGTGTACCTAAAAAAGTGGTTAGTCATTTTTTGACATTTAAGTCCAAATTATAGTATTTAGTTACATAAACTGCTGTGTTTGACAACCATTTGACTTACAGGTGAGCATCAGGTCCTTAGAGCTGCTGACTGTAACCTCGATCCAGCTGGACAAGTCCAATCCGATGTTTCTGCAGGGGGACAACCTTGTTAGACAGGTACAACACTGTTACTGTTACCAACAACTAAAATCTAAAGGATGCTCCAGAGAGCTTGCTTATTTAATCATCTGTATTACCAACCGGTAGGGGTGCAACAATTCACTTCTATTCAGTTTATT